ACTTGAAGTCTTTCAAGTGTCTTTGCTAAGCAAACAGTGTCGTACTTTTGTTTTTTTGGCTTTTTCATACTAAAAGTAAAAAGTTACATTAAAAAGTATTTAATTTACATTTGGTTTAAAACTTAAAATAATTAACAATTTACAGTAATATTTCAGATAAGAGAAAAAATATGGTGACAATGTGCAGTTTAGTGACAGCAATATAAAAGATTATGAAAATGCGTTATAAAGAATTCTTTACAATTTTAAGGACGCTAGTAAACTTTTAATTAACATATATGGAAAAATGTAAATTTGACTCGTTTCTTGTGTTCAAATGTATTGTTTTAACTCGTTTTTTTTGCTTTTCATTTTTAAATATACTTAACATCTCAATAAGGCTGTTCATTACGTAGTAAGGTTGAATTGCATAATTGACAAGTTTTTCTTTGAAAAATTACTTAATTACTTAAGTGTAGCTACAAAATTTCACCCATTTCGTCTTAGGAACATGCTTTCGGAATATTTCCAGCAATAAGGTTAATAAAGTAATTGCGAATACACAAATATGTGCAATCTTTTGAGCATGTTTTTATTTCACAGCCATGTTATACTTTTTTGGAGTAACTGCAAACAGAAGAAAACATTTTACAAAAGCAGATTTTCAAGAAAAATCTAAAAATCAGTAAAAACTTATATCTTTTTCATTTGTTGAGCAATAAAAGTGAATGAAGAATTTCAAAAAATTTCCATTTTGACTTATTTTCCAAAACATTTTTGAAAAAAAGTGCTTATTATTTTCGCTCTTTCTGTCCGTTCATTTACGAAACTTCTGTATCCTACAATGTAAAGAGCTGAAACTTCATATATACATAGATCTTTACTAGAAATTTATTTTTGAACAGTTCATTTCGTTAGAAGAAAATTTTTTTCCACTTCCACCCCCTCCCAAGTTATCATCCCTCAAAATTTGTAAAATTTGAATTTTTAGCACCTTATATTTCCGAAACTGTAAGCTTTTTCAAATTTCTGTCAACACAGAAAGCGAACAGTAAATGCCATTAAAAAATATAATAGGTTTTCTTAACTCACGCAATTAAATTCCTCTAAATTTTTTTTTGTTTTATTTAAGATTGAGTACATAGCTCATCCTTAATCTATGCAATTTTTTAAATATATTCGTATATGAATGAAAGCAGTTTATTTTTATAATGTAGTAAACCATAAAAGGAAAGAGATTCTAATAGTTTCTCATTGATGAAGAAAATTTATTTATTCATATCTATTTGCCAAAACGAATTGTCACTTATTAAATCAACATTAAAATTAGTTCGTAAAAGTTTAAGATAACCTCATTGAAGTTAGAAGAATTACCTATAATACTCCCGAGCTGTACTACTTTTAAATATTTTCTATTTCTATATACATATCAATAAAATCCAATGCTCACAATAATATAAAATGAATTTCCTATAACATTGTACAAAGAGTTGATGGATATACAGCTATTTAAAAGTTTATTGTAAACTTAAAACTTTATTCCTTCGAAAACTATTGGAAAATTTATATTGGTAATTGAATTATTCCTTAGGGCATCTATATCTGTGGATCTGACACTGAGCTGCATATTAAACGTGTAACATTGTACAGATTTTCGTTATTTATGTAGAAAAAAAATCTGGCTCATATTTAGTTTTTCTTTCTTTTCATCTTCCTTTCAGTCTTTATATACAAAAAGCACAATTTTTTATCAAAAGTAATTTCAAATATATAAAGGACTTCTTAATATCACTGTTGTACAAATAAAAAAAAAATAAATGAAAACGAAAATCAAATATTTTTCTACAAAAGGTTCTTTTGATACAAACATACAAAAAAAATCCAACTATCGGTATGATGAAAATATTTTCCAGTTATTATATCAAAGTCCACTTCTCTTTCTTTATGCATATTGCAAAATAAAATGCAGTTCAAATAAAAATTTAAAGAATTTTGCATAGAGTAATGAAAAAAAATTGAATGTAGTTAATTAACTACGCTTACATGAATAATTAAACTTCGTACACAACTAATTATGCTGAAGAATGTCATGATGCCTTTTTGGTAAACTTTAAAATTAATTTAAAATTTTCTTAATTTAAATAACTTCAGTATTTAAATAAATTAGAAAAACTTGAGAAAATTATTCGTATTCAATTTCATATTTTTTTTTTCCTGTTGGAAATTCATATATATTTTTTTAATGAGCCTAATTGTAAGTTAATTAAAAATTTAAGTGCTCTCTTCAAAATTAAGCAAACCTTACATATAGCTAATTCTGTATACTATTTTGTACACTGTTCAGCAATTTTATGTGCAATAAGTCTTTTAAGTATTGTACAGCAAAAATATTTAAAAAATATAAATACTATATTTCCTCTATCAAAGGACACGTTTATGCTAAAAAAATTTACTTTCAAAATAGAACTGTTCCATCAAAAGTTTTTTCCAAGCTGAATTGAATCTAACTGACAAATTAAGTTTTATCGAATATCTTTTATACAACTGCTAGGCTATCAGCTATTGACGAAAAACTGAATTTTAAACTGCCCGATAGACCTAATACAAACAGTATGTATCATTGTGAATTGTCCCATAAGTTAGTAAGTAAGGTCACTTCCTAACACTTGTCAAAACTTACATTTCAATTTTACAAACCAAAAGATATTTTTAAAATAGTCAGATTCCTCATATTACCAAAATATATATGTACCGGTATAAAAACGTTCAAGATTAATAAAAATTCTGTAATTTCTATGTTTTATTTTTTCGTCTCAGTTACAAATTTTATAACTTTTATTGTATTTATGCAAATATGGTTTGCTCTTAGAATACCAGATTTATTCCTGAAATAAAAAAGTTTACAACTTCAAATCAACCATAGCATAAATCCATAAATCTTAATCATATCCGTACGACTTGTAATAAATTTTCATCTGTAATGCTTTTAATCTTTTCACTGATTTTTCCAATAATGCAGCAAGATTTTAAATCTCTAGTGCAAATGCAATACCATATACCATTTATCAATATTGGAAAGTCAATTATTCCTAAATAAATGAGTTGAAAAGAGTATGTAAATAAATGTGTGTGCCACGAATAAATTATCTCTGAAATAGAAAATCTATTTGAAAATTTCAGAATTTTTTTTGAGAAAAGCAAGAAAAATAGCATAAATCTGTTATATTAAGAATCTAAAACAAATCATATCTTGCGACTATTTCATTTCAATAAAAAACGAAGAAAATATTTGAAGCAAAATTCTTCGTTTCATTTAGAAAATTTTGACTAGAACATTTTCCAATTATTTTAGGTTTTTTCTTAATAAATATTTTATTAAAATAATAAATTTTAAATGTAATGTGGCCAGGTTCATGCAATAATTTTACAAAAATAAATGCGTGAAAAAAAAGTTTAACTTCGATTTAAAAAAAAATAAAGTTGGGTCAAACCAATGTTTTATATTGTAGCACTTTTCCCTTCAACAAATGAAGGGAGTCTTTGAAATAAAGCAAAAATTAATTTGAAGAGTGGTTAACATAATGCTCGATTTTAAGGGGTAATTGCGTGGTTAAGAAAAATATTTTTTAATGTTATGGAATTTACCGTTACGATGTTATGGAATTTACCGCTTTTTTCGTTTTTAGAAATTTGGAAAAATTCAAATTTTTCAAATTTCAAGATGCGATAACTTGAGAGGGCGTGGTGAAAAAATTTTCTTCTAGCGAAATGAACTATTTATCAGTGTCTAAAGGTGATAAAATTTCAAGTTCACACAACCTGGGGTCTAGAAGAAAAAAGAGATACAAAATTTGGAAAAAACTGATTTTAGATAACGGTCAATTTTAGCGGCCATTTTGTTTTTTTAGAATTTAGCTACAGTATATCGCGCTGGGGGAAAGCAATAAATAGTTAAAAAATGGCATTTTTACTTCTCGAAGGGGGAGATGGTTAAACATTTTTTTGCAGAAATAAGTTATTTTCTTATCAACAGAAATAAATTTCCAGTTAAGATCTATGTACATATAAAATTTTACCTTTCTAAACATGTCCACGGACGGACAGAGTGAATCTAATAAACACTTTTTTCAAAATTTTTTTGGGAAAGTGCTAAAAATTAGTAAATCGGACATGAATAAAGATAATTTAAGTGATATAAAGCTGAAATCCAATTTGCATAATGGACATTTTACACAAACCATTTGCAAAGTTATTATATTACTCTTGAATTTCGGCATTATTCCAATGTTGTTCAAATAACATTGCAACAATGCAAAATTGCATCATTTTTATCAAGATTCGTTTTGCACCAACATTAGGGCTTACCGTATAACTGCAAATATTGGAAAAATCAACCTGAATAATTCTTAGATGCAACTTAAAAACACTGAAAAAATATTGATGTCATCGAATCCAGCAAAGTTTTTGTTGTAATTTTTCGTGAATTAAAAGAATATAAAAATTAATTCGAGCATAATAAGAAGGCAAATTGTTAAAAAATAACATTTTAAATATTAGACACCATATATGTAAGCAGTTTCATCTTTTCTATTTGTTTAATTTATTGAGAGGTCAAATCGAAATTAAAATTCGTTTTTAATAAATCGCTGTTCCGTTAGACAAAAAATAAATTTCAACCAGTCAGACATTTTTAGAATATACAATTTTATTGCATCAGAATCAATTTTTATAACTATAATATTACTATACGAGTACACATACTTTGAAAATTTTATTTTCAAATTTAATAGTAAAAATTAGATTTTACCATTCACCCCGCAACTAAGGTAATAATTCAAATCAAATTTTTTCAAAAAGGATTAAGTCAATTAATAAAATGTGACGAATACTAAGTTTGAAATTTTGTTACACAACTGTACAAGGCTACAAGCTATTAATGTCATGAACGGTATTTAAAACTTGCATTTTTGTTCTTAAAAACCAATATTATCATAATTTCAATTTTTAAGTTTTCAACTTACCTTTATTAAACTGATCATTTCTAGCAATAACATTTTCGGCATTTTTTCTCGCTTGAAAAAACCACTCTGATGTATTACCTAAATAATGATATTCTAAAGCTAAGTCTTTAGCTAAAATTGCCCCTTGATCTGGTGGTGGTAAACGATATGCAAATGGACAAAATAATCCTGATTTCGATGGATGCTGATCCCAATCAAAACAATGACCAGCCGCAAATATATCATCATCGAAAGCAACCATTGATAAAACGGATGCATGTAAGAGAGGTTCCGATGACATTATTTCCGGTGAGGTATTCTTAAAAATTCTGTGAAAAAAAGAAACAAAGCAAAAAACTTAAAATATTATTTTAAATTATTTTGAAATTAGAATTTAATGCGATGTAAGGATTTACATTATAGCATTAAAGGATAATATTTTTAAATTCGTATTATACAACATGATGACTGAAGTATATTATGCAATAATATATAGGTATGTAATATACATATATAATGTATGTAGATTTATTTACTTTTACGATGGTAATATGCTCGTATGCATACATTTATACATTTAAATTATATGCATCCATTCTTACTTTTAAAATGAAGCGTTCAAATTTATGGGAAAATTTATAGAAAAATATTCAAACTTTTTTTTTCCTAATTTTACTGCATTGCGCTTCTCTCGGATCATAAATCTGTTTCAATTTTATACTAATATGAAAATATAATAAAATTTCAAGTAATTCTTTGTAACTATTTTATGGTTATATTATGTATATGAATGTCTATGTAATTTCATCGTAAATAATCATATGTGCATTCACTTAATTCATGTTGTATATTACAAGTATAAGTTTGACTTCGAATCTTTAAAAGGATTTATAATTCTAATAATACGTGATCGCTTTTATGTTATATAAGAATTTCATAAAATATTCAAATGATATCTTTGGCTATTAAATTCTTTAAATTTGTACATATCCGAAATTATTTATAGCAGGGATATTGATATAGTGAAATTTGGCGAATAATCATTACAACTTTATTGAAAACTATAAAATTTTCATTGTTTAACAATAATTTAAATAAATATAAAACCGGTGACTTTATAGTTCTTGAATATTTTAAACATTAAACTAAGCTAAAAATTTTGGTAATATTTTTATTTGCTAGTCACAGTAATTATAGATCTACCTGTCAGCGAAACTGGTTCTTATACTGAGTACTGTATCAAATTATTTTTTAAAAATTCAAAACTCTCGTTGAAATAGGTCTTTATGAGAAAATTATTCATCCAACTGAACAAAAGCATTATCAAATAATTTTTTTTGTATTTGTATCCCAGAATATTTCTCCATAAGTTTAAATCATCTTCAAACAATTGTATTACCATTTGTACATCGCAATAGAAAAAACTTCTTATTGAAAAATATTTCTTTTTTGAAATCAATTAAGCCGTCAAGAGCCTCAAAAACAAAGCAATTAAATCTTTTCTTATTTTCTTTCCTTATTTGCTTTTAAGTTTCATAAATTGCATTTCAAAATCTTTTAATCTAAACGAAATTTTGAAATAAGAATTGCAATATCAATTTTGTTCTTCCTTAACTTCTAAAATAATCTTCATATTTCAAATTCCTATACTAGCAGCATATTAATTTAGTGAAAATTAACTGTTCTCTTAAAAGGAAATGCTGTATACGTTTAAATCATGAATCTAAAATCAAAAAATCATATACATATGTATGTATGCGGAAATAAAGTTCAATTAAATTATGTATTGAGTTCCTGATACTGAAAAAAATTTTTCAAAAATGGATTGAATTTTTTTTTTTCGATTTAATCGATTGAATTTCAATTGATTATATTATGCAAAAGTAACCACATTCAATACCATTAAATTCCTCTGGCTTCAGATTTTTTCCTTTGGTTTAACAAAATTTCAAATTCCAAAAAAGAAAATTGTCAATTTTAAAACTTTAGACCAGTAAATCTCAAAATTTGATTTTAAATTGTGACATGTTAAAATATATGCCACATATAATGCTTGTAGGTAACTTGAAAATCGCTGAATTAATTCGACTTTTTAATAAAAAATCAAACATACAGAACATTTTCATGCCTTAGCATGGTCTAGTAAGAAAATAAAAATAAGAAGTAATTTTTGTTTTTGAACAAAAATGGCCTATTTTGAATTTCATAAAATATGATAGTTATTACAATAGTAAAACTAAAACAATTTTATAAGAGTTCAAGGGGTAACTTCAGTAGATATTACTAATTTGTTTCCAATAAATATTGGCGAAATAAAAATTATATTTTTGTTGGATTTGATTAGATGAAAACGCTTCTTTATTTTTTAATATTTGATAAATAATATTGGGTGTTCAAATTAAGATACCGAAAAATACCGATTGAGAAACACGCTTACAAAAACTGCATTGCATAATCAAAGAAATGTTTCTATTGTACAAAAAAAAAATATAAACATGCAATTGCACCACATTCATGAAGAAGAATAAAAAATTTTATATGAAAAGAAGAATAAACTAATAAAGAACGTTCTATACATTTTGTATTTTTAGGAGGAGAAACTCTTTTATTGGATTTATTTTCCAAGTAAAATAAACTTCAATGGAAAATAAAATATAATGAAAATAAACAATTTAGATTCTTCTCGATTTTCTAATCCTTTCATGAAATTCCTATTTTTATTTAAAAACACATTGTATAGGGTAGAAAAAAAGGAGGAAATTCAAGGAAAGAAATTTATTTCTCCTCTATTTTTGAAAAGAAACTTCCCATTAGCTTCCTTACAAAACGATTTTCTTATAATTTTCTATAGATGTTTCAAGAATTTGACACTTTCTGTAAATTACAATGTCTATTTAAAATAAAAATTATAAAGTCTTATTGTTATATTCCAATGTAAACCAAAGAAAGACCAAAAAAATTCCAAAAATATTCCATAAAAGGATAAGAGACCGGGATATTTGTTCCAATTATACATGTTTATCATATATTCATAGTTCCAGTTTCCAATGCAATGCTGATTATGTGGACAATCTATTTTTTTCTTGCTCAAATTAAGAAAGCAAAGGACTTTATTCATACAACATAGTCAAATAAGATTTCTATTGGGTTCCAGCATATTTTCAATATTCCAGGATATATTCATATGGTTAACGAAAAACCCAAAGCAAATCTTATTTAAGATTTGGATAGATTGTATATTAGAGGTTTTCGCTTATATCCAGGATCAACAAACTAATAAAATTAGTGCACATATAAAAGTTTCAAACCTCGTTTGAAAACGTACGTTTTTGCAATTTTTTAACAAATTTTGTATGCTACTTTTCACATTCTCCCCAATTTACTTTATGAATACCAAATGCGAGGCTTATTACTATTCCAATAAGCATGTTTTTTATAAATTTAAATATTCACATTTCGCAAATTTTTTAAAAATTTTATCCTTCTATCTCTTCTAATAAACCTCTTAAAATTAACTGTTACAAAATTTTTAATTTCTAAATTTCACAATAGACTTAAATTTCACAATAATATTTTTTTTATTTTAATAACCTGTACACGATGTTTGAAACTGAAGAAAAAATAATCTTCCCATTCATTTTTTAAAATATTAAATTTTAATATTTAAAACAAAAAAAATTTCTATACCCAATTTTTTTGTTCTTTTATATAAAAAAAAAACTTTTCGTTAGTGTTTTAAAGAAAACTTAAATTACAATCAAGACCCCTTAAATGCCAAAAACGAAGAAAAGTAAGAAAGAGTATATGCAAAAATATGTAGAAAACGACATTAAAATATTGAAAATGTAAAATTGAAATTGAAATTTTTCGCGCTTCACTGATTTTGGAATCCTTCCACAAAAAAAAAAAATTATAACGAAAATGCAAGCACACTCACACCAACTTTCATAATCCAATTCGGTTAAATATTTTTTGGAAATTTCTTATGTAATTTAAGTATATTTTAAAGCTCGCAGACGTAAAAACAGACGTAGAAAAAAGGACAAATCAATGTTGGTTAACTTAAAGTTTTTTTTTTCATGTAAAAAATAGAAGCAAACCATGCTTAATTGAAAAATAATAAAATTTCACTGCCTCAAATTTTGACTAGTCAAACAGTTTATTTTAGCTACTACATCAAAATTTAAATCATGTAATTACTAAATGAACATATATTCGAAAAATTCCGAAAAGAAATCTACATTTAGAGCAAAGAAAAGGTTTGATACCAAAAAGTCTAAATAGTTTTCTATAGCATAAAGACATTTTTTAAACAAATTTCAAAACACCAATATTGAGTATTTAAGCTAAACCAAGAGTTTCTTGCTAAAATTCCATTAGAAAAATAATGCTTTAATTAAGTAGTCGTTCACTCAATAAAAAAAGTAGCAAATTAAAATAAAAATGTTAACGCTTTTGAGTGTTTAGAACATGAAAAACCTACTTTGAATTTGCACTCAGCTCAGGAAAAAATTACACTGTAAGAAATTCAAAGAGCCAGTTTTAATTACTAGTTGAATCAAGGGAATGCACCTATTTTATTTGACACAATCTACTTTACTTAATGGTGATGAGGTTCCTACAAAATTTCTTACACCTTTTAAATTAAAATCTTGAAATTTTATATACAAAAACATCTTTACCATTAACTAATTTTAACCTATCTCCACCCCCTGAAGGTTGTAGCGTCTCAGAGCGCTAAAAATTACTTTTTTGTGTTTTTATTATTAGTTGAGCTTACGAGTAGCATAGTTGAGCATAACCTACCCATTAAAGCAGTGATTATGGCACCGGTCCTTTAAACTATTAAATTCTCCATAATACCCGATATTAAAAGAAAATAATCAGGTACTCATATAACCTTAAATAATTAATTTTTTATACAAAGCAAAAAACCACGGTAGGCTAGTCACCTACCGAGCTAAAATATCTATGGTTTCCTGTAATAGCCCTACGCTCCTTCTACGAATGAAAAGAGGAAAAAATAAAGTTGGGTTAAACCAATGGTTTGTATTGTAGCGCTTTTCCCTTAAGCAAGTGAAAATACTGCTTTTAAATACAGTATATGTATACGTAGCACGCTATTAAGATTATTTTCATTCATATACGAAACTATTTCTAGAATTGCATATATTTAGGATGAACGATTTATGCAGTCTTTGAAATAAGGCAAAAATTAATTTGAAGAGGGTGATTAATTTGAACATGATGCTCGATTTTAAGGGTTAATTGCGTGAGTTAAGAAAAATAATTGTACTTTTTAATGTCATGAAATTTGCCGTTAGTTTCT